TCAAGTAAAGCGTCTCAGGAACCAACTTGAATTTCCAATGTACCTCCACCAACCAATCGATCAGCACTGCACGCATACGCTGAGTGATATCATTCTGGGTCCTCTGCATGTAGTCATTAGCCTGTCTGTATCTGAAGCGGAGAGAAGATACTTTCCTTAAGGGACGATCAAGTCGACCTACTTCTGTTCAACGCCATTCATATTGATGAAGATTGGATTCACATATTCCGCCACGAACTGAGGGTCTCCGAGATCCTGAAAATCGTCCCTCACAGGAGGGATAAATTCCTGAGTAAAAATCACTTGACGATCCTCTGGTGGGATGGTGTCCTTCCAGTCAATGACTGGGCTCATAGACTCTATTCTAGCCGGTGTAGTGCCCTGCATAATAGTATCATCGTCATCATCACCCAATCGTGCTTTACCTCGTGAGGCAGCGCCTGTCGTCATCCTGCAAAACCAAGCAGAATCATCCCCAAGACGAGACTCACCAGTGTGAGGAGGCAGAAAGTTTGAAGTGTTGCTGAAGTCCATAAACACCTCCCGTTGACGGGTTTCCATCACAGAATCACCATCCTCCCCAATAGGAACGTTTTCAGACCGCTGAGAGCGCTGCGAACGGTTGCTAGTGAGCATAATAGTTAGAAGACTTTTGTTAGAGTCAATATCGACCGCTGGTGCAAATCGCGCTCGCCCTCAAAAATCGATCATTCCTGCAAGGTGCATGTACGATGCATGATGCAGGAAACGCGCATACATCTTGCTGGTGAGCTGCTGTCCCGTGTTCACTCCAGGAATTCAGAGTCGATTCTAGCATCGTAGCATACGTGTAGAAAGCGATTCTGAGTTCTGAAATCAGTTCATTGAAAAACCCCAGTGAAAAAACGAGTCTTTAATAACAATCTCGCAAATAGTGAAATAATAGAAGCGATTCCCTTGAGGAGTCTAGTGAGTGGGTAACACCGACCGATTGGAACGGACTCTTCAGATGATGAGTAGGCTCATGGGAAGGAGGTGGACCGATAGGACTTGTCACCGGGGAAGAAGAGACCAGCCGTGGTGGAGATGGCAGGACAGAACCGAGGACCAAGTTACCGTCTGGACGCTGGCCAAGCACGTCGACTGGAGTAGACACCCTTGGAGGAGATTCCCTTACTGGACACGAAGGCGAGGTTGAGGGATTATCAGCCTCGACCGTTTGGGAGAGAGCTCGGATTTCGTCAGCATCAGAACGCTGGATCTCGATAGAATGTGAACGATCAGCATTACGCTTGATGCCTTTGCCGACACATGCTCTCTTTGCCCTCCCCGACTGATACGACTCTGACATGATGATGAATATACTAACTGTACTCTGTACTTATCTCTCACAATATCTAACGTGCATCTTTTCGTTTTATCTCAAAAATTGGCTCACGTCGCCGAACAGATGAACTAAAGGACGTGCGCTTATCAAAGTGCTCTGATGCTCTGTTCACAACCACTTAGGGAACGAAACACTAGAAAGTCTCGGGAGATCATCTTATGTCATCAGCTACGATAGTAAGATGAGAATATTCTGCTGCAACCTCATTCGTTGCGCCTATACCAAAACTTTTTGTCTAGGAGATGTTGTCTTCGCGTATATAAATGGTAGTTCGATAGCAGAATGGAGGTATACCTTGCATGCCCTCAGAAACACGATATCCAGGACCTAACTTACCTGACAATGAATCTCGTATAGAAACAAGTAGACGAGAACAGTTGCAGTACTTACG